TATAAAATAGCCCAAAATGTAACATGATAAAGCTGTCTAAAACGTAGGTTTTTCTGTCACATAAATATGTACATCTTGAAACATAATATTCCCCTTTCACTGTGAAAATCCTGGCAGGCCTTATCTGTGAGAAATGGTTTTTGACCGTACAGCCCAAGTTTATGCCTTGCGGCCGTTTTTCTCTACATATATATAAATATTTTTAATGCTGATGCCTAATAAAAATACTTCGGAGGTTGATGACTTGACTCTCAAATTGAAAGGGCTCCTTTCTATGATACATTCTCTTGTGTTTTGAAGTGAAGTCAGAAACCATTTTTGACTAAGCATCTAATATTTAATCGCAAACTTCCCGGTTTTCTTAAAACATTGAATTACCTACTGGACGTGGAATGATTACGATAATTTTGTTTCTGTAAGACATTTGTCATTTGATTATAACTGTAGCTCCATACGCAACATTAAAATCATTGATTGCATTTAAAATAATTAATGTATATATATTCTTTTTTTTTCAGATGACAATGGAACTGAACATTTCTCCCGGAACATGATACCATGCAACCTCCACAAACCGAAATACAACCGAGTCAAATTTAAATTATCCACGTCTTGCCTTACCACTTACCAAACCTAAGCAATAACCTATTAGACTTATATGTAAATATGTCTAAGCAACTAATCCTAATTATCGATTTGGATACTATAATTGCGACATTTAATAACGATCATCATTTTTATAACAGGCCCTATCCATACAGGCTATGATAATTTTTATTGAATATTTTGTCCCACATTTCCCTTCGAACCCAATAAAATGTTAAATTTTGAAAACAACACTCCTCTAAAAATAGTTTTATTAATATTGACAGCACTTTCAATACAAGTCAACACGCTTGAGAATAATAGAAGTGAACGGGACTCGTACAGGCCTATACAGGGCAAAGTATATTTCGGCATTGCAGTAGCGATATCAGGTCAAAGTTTCAGCAAGGCTTTTAACAAAACTTTAACGAATATTACGCAAAACCATTTGTACGGTAGTTTCAAGAAATTCAGTTACAATATAAGTTTGGAACCATTAGTGATCGAACTGCCCGAGAATGGAAGTTTTAGCAGTTTTTTGTTAGAGCATCTCTGCGATCTGTTCGAGGGCAAACATGTCGTTGGAGTGCTGGTCGTCGGATCTTCGCCGGCGGCTTTTACAGTCAGCCTAACGGCGCGTCATGCTGGCATACCCGTTTTATGGGCTCGGGGTCATAGCGAATTTTTGCCAGGATTTCGAAATATGGTAAGTACATTCGTAACTTTAGTTTAAAAAATATACAAAGTAGCGCAGAGATATGGCATGTTTTATGAATTTCCCAATTTTCAAAAGCGGTTGCAGACTTGACTCAAATTATTTTTCATTATTCATTTGAAGCTGCTCAGGTACTTAACTGCTATTGAAATGCTTAGGTACGTAAAAAAAATGCGTTTCCTCTGACCACCCTGTATTGAAAATTCAACAAATCGTAGTTTTTTAACATTTAACAACATCTATTTATTATCATCATTTGTTAATCGACTTCAGCCTTGTCGATCCGACTGATTAATAACTGTTTATTTGTATTTGTACCTGTTCTGGATAGCCAATAAAAATGAAATAGATATCCGGTCATATCGAATGTAATAAAATTCCCCTGTAAGTTTATTTATATCACAAGGCTAGCCATTAAATGTACAAGAAAAGATCCAAGTTGATAAATTGTATTCATATAGGGATTAAAGAATCCGTATTCTATCAAATTATTATTTAACCCTCGAATAGAATTAGGCTATTATTTTATTGAAGCGTTTTACAATAAAGACTATTTTTGCTTGAGAACCGCAGGGCAAAATGAATGCTGTGTCCATAAAGAGCAACGCATACATTCAAAAGTGTAAAAAACAAACAGGGCGAGTCGCTTACAAAAACATAGCTTTGGGTCACCAATACTTATTGGGCCACCTTGTATATTAGAACATAGTTCAAGAATGTAATACTCATGTTTATCTACAAGTTTCGTATTGACTCCACTATTACCGCTCGCTTAATAAATCACCCTGTATACATAAATATGACTATCACAGAAATTAATATTTTGCTGATAAAGTCAAAGAAAATAGATGCGTATCATATATCTAAAAATGATGCCATAACAAGGAACAAATTAAACGTGTTACTATGTGTGACTCTTCATGGACATAGCAGGGCCGGTAATTTATATCCTCTACAGTTATCGAATCGAAGAGATAGCCAACAGCGTATAAAAATTCAATTTGTAAATATGTAGTATAACCTTACTTGTGATAATCTACCACAATTCAACAACTGATATATCAAGTATAGCGTAAAAATATTAGTGAGTCCATTTTAGTTGGACTTCGGTTTAAGCAGTAATAGTTTCGCCAACAGGGAATATTGTGAGTTTGGCATTTACCTACAATAATTTAGATAAGGCTTGGTCCTAGGTTTACCGTCAGGAGTATGGCGTCAACCCTTTTGTGTCATTACCTTACAGTCTGTTAACCAATAATTGGATTTAAATTCAAGCAAGAACTCTTTTGAGCTTGCTACATAGGTGTGGTCCAATGCCAAAGTCTTTATCTCGTACTGTTATGTTATGTTGCACCTTTCTCGTCTGGGTTGCAGTCCTTTGGATCTCCAAATATTTTTTCAAAACTTGTATTTTCATAGGTACACCAACTAGTTGAAATAATGCAGCTTCTGCATTGGTTAAAAGCTCCCGTTGCAGCAGTATACAGGGTGGATTATCTTGCAGGTGGATTAGATGCTATCTCTACTAATCCACCTGCAAACTCGGAAATTTCCAATGCACGGGTTTCGTGATCAAGGTCTATAATGCAGGATTACCTAAAGCATATTCGAGACAAAGAATAAAAATATTTGTTTTAATATTCTGATGTTTGTTATTTTTATGAAAATGGTAAAAATGGCATTGTTTGGTATCATTTTCATATAATATTTATATCCAAAGAGGCCAATAATTTATTATAATAGTACAATATTAGCTCTTCTATGGAGCATGTTGATTATGATAAAGGAAAAAGAGATCATAGAACGATGGTTGAAAAAAAAAAGATTAACTGCTAAGGAGCTGGCGCTCTATTAATACGCGTACTCAAAAACCCTGAGTTAAGTTGGCTGTATAGCGAAAGCCTTTTGAATATTATCGACAGTAATTGTTGGTGATCAAGTGTTTATCTGTGGCCTCATTTAGTGAATCAAGAATAAAATCTGAAAAATGAGAAATTAAAAAAATCACAACTAACTGCACTTAATACTTAGGTTTATGTGCCTAACTTAGTTAACGTTGAAATGTTACACTAACTTGAACTAGAGAAACTTGCTAACGATTTGTTCAATTTGGGCACTAGCTGATGTCACACGTAACCTCACTTTCGACCCTCACCCATCAAAAGTGAGATTATGTGTGTGACGTCAGCTGGTGCCTAACTTAAGACTTAAAAAGCGATCTATCGCCGCAACGGTCTGATCAGTCTCAAAGTATTCCCCTTAAAATTTAAGAAACAAGAACTTCCAGGCTCAAAATCCAATTGGGTATATAATTGTCATCCTAGAAACTGAAAAGCCTAACCATACCATATTATTACATTCATAATTGCCACAATAAAGACCTTTATATTGTCATATAAAATATGACCTACTGAATAAATTTGATTACTATGGATGGATGTTTCACAATGAACTGCCTCAAATAACGCGAAGTTGAAACTTGTCTTTTAATATCATGTCGTTTCATTGCAAATTTTTATTGCAGTTAGTAAATTTAATGACTAATTCATGTACATATCTTCTTAACGTAAGGAATGAGAATTATTGTTATCAAATCAATTCAATAAAGATTTTAATTTACAAGTTTGTCTGGACACGCTTAAAGCTCAGGTGCGAGAATGATGAAAAATGGAAATCAAAGATACACTTTCCGCAAAAATCTCCAAGTTGCCACATCTGCTATCAATTCAATTAATTCTCGTTCAGTCAAACAAAAAAAAGGTAATAGTTAACCAATTTTCGAACTATAAATAGATTCAACTCCAAAACTACGCTACGAGGGATTAGACTGGGGTTGTATTCAGGTCAGGACATAAAATTTCCAATAAAATATCAAAAAGCTTCGAACAAAACAGGATGCTGGGGAGATGTTTACTAAAATCGTCGACTAGCCGGCTGGCCTAATTTCCTTGGCCTAGTTATCGGATATTTCGGGTGTGTGCCTAAAATGTCCCGTAAATATCTTATTTTTGTCATCAGTTCAAGATCGGACCCCTGCCGCTTCGAATTCATATAATAATTTTTAGGGATATGACGGACATTTTTTGAAGATACACAGAGATTTTGAAAAGTTTCATTTTGGAGAATGATTCTACCACATCAGCCTTATTATTCCATTACATATTTGTCTGTAAATTTGAAAATTAAAAACTTCTTCAACTGTTAAAAAAAACAGAACTTTTATGCCTTGTTAATATTATAGTTCCCATTTTAAACTTTAAATTAAATTCAGTAGGTATCTGATCTCATGCTTGAAAATACTTTGTCAATTTAAATATACCTACTTTCAACTTTTAAAGTGCATCAGTTCAATAAATCTCAATTTATTATGTTTCTTCAATGCATTTTCGCGAGTTATGAGAAACTACCAAGCGTTTTAGTTCCAATAATGCAAGATTGTTGAAACTGAAATTGTGTTATTCAAGTAAATTTTTATCGTTTATTGAAACTAGCATTTTATACTCTTACAAGTTTGAATAAGTATAATGTTTCACTCATGCTATTTTTTTTATGTCCAAAAATATTTAGATTATGGGTACCTAATTCCAGATTCCTGAAAAAAATCTATTGTCGGGAAAACGTCAACTTAAGTTGAACCATTTGTAACTTTTTTGAGATTTTTCTAAGCTAGATGCAAACAAACAGGTAGTAAAGAAAAGATTTATGTAGCAAAGTATTTATTATTAATTTCATGTGAACTCAAAAATTACAAATTCTAAGTGACTAATTATTATAAACGTACAAAATTAAGTGAACAAATGATAATTATGACAAAGTTAGTGATAAATAATGCTCCGATTATTAAATAACTAACATTTAAAAATTTCAGCAGTTTTTCTCAGATATTCCATTGATTTTCAAAACATTCTTTATTATTTGAAAAGAAATGACGTTTTTATTAAAATTTTACATAAAATCTGAAAAAAATTGCTGATTTCAAAAACTTCTAAATAATAAGTAATTTCATTAAATTACAAAATAAATGTACGTCGTTCAATGGCTTAACTTTAAGCAATTCTAAGTTGCCAGTTTTTTTTTCATTACTAAAATCACATCTGATCACAAAATTAAATGAAAATTTAAGCTAAAGCAAATATTGAAAAACTATATCTAATAAACTGGCAGTTTAGAATGGAACGGTATTTCTAATCTAAATAGTAAATCTAATCGAAATCTAAATAAGCCAAATGGCACCATCAATAGGTAACTGAACAGGTTGCTCAAAAACAAAACAGAAGCATTAATTCTAAGTACAAAAGAATAAGAAAATAATTAAGGAAATTTCAAAAAAAAAAAACAGAGAACCTGCTCACTTCTTAGCCGATTATTCATCATGATTGTTTCTGGCCTCCCAAGCATTTACCAATTTGAAGCTGAAATACAAGAAGAACCCATGCACCAGGAGGGTAAACATTATAAAATGATACCATATGATTCCAGCAGGATACCCCTGCAAAAAAATGTTTAATTAAAATTATTGTTAATCAGTGTGACACAATTAACTTACATTCCAGTATACAATGTGAAATGGTGCATCATAGGCAAACAGGTATGCCCAGGCATCAGAAAACCAAATGGTTCCACCCCATATCAGCGGAAAAATCCCCAATACCACCATGAAAATCATATAGTAGCGCAGACTTGCAATATCGCCTTTGTCACAGTCCTGTATAGCAAATGCAGTAACTAGAAGGCTGGCGATCCAGACCCATTCCCAGGCATCGGGCTGCGAAAAAGAAGTTGATTTTATTATGTTAAGGCATTTATTTCACTTTTGAATGAAGATATAAGGTCACTTATTCTGAAATAGCTAAACAAATAAAATGTAAGTATGTATGATTTCTAAAAAAAAACATTTGGGTGATATGAGTCTCATTTTACTAAATTTGCATTGAAATTTCAAGCCTGTGCTTATTGGAAAAAAAATGCATTAAAAGGAAATCTTGCACAAATAACTAAATTTAGTCTAAATTACCTCAGGAATTAAAAGTTCTTGAATCGCAGCGTTGACCTTCTCGACGTTGAATGCGGTCAGCTTAAACAACATCAGTAGGCCAAGGAGATAGTGGATGAGGGCACATTTCCTCAATCCAGCTTTGCTGATGGCGCTGAAATTCGAAATTATTAAAAATTATATTTATTCAAATACATCCGAAATTTAATCAGTATAGAATAATAAGGACTCCTCACAAAATTTCCATGGTTATACCACGTACCTTGGAGTAGTCCTGGCCAATCAGGAAAATAAAACAGGTTTTCAAAAGCAAAACTTGCTATTGACTGAGTCAATTGAATAAATATTTCAAAAAACACCGTTACAGTCCAAAAGCCATGGTTGTAAAACGTAAATTTGATCAAGGACAACAATTCCCTTGGATCAGACAAGCAAGTGTTGTAAATGTAAATAATAATAGAGACTTTTTCAAAACCAATATTTGGAAAAAATGCATGCCTGTTTATATACAGGGTGGGCCAGCGAAAACGAAACAAGGTCGATATCTCGTATTCATCGTTTATTGAAAAAAATCGCTCGGACCCGTCGATTTTTATTCGGAGGGGGAAATCTTTTGCGCATATTTTCAATGTTGTCACTTCAACCCTCTCGCGGGGGTAAGCTCCAACCCTTAAATCTTAAATGGCAGTAGGGGTCAAGCGATACCTCATTTCAAAGGTCATCGAATTCTCTTTTCAACGGTGCCTATTTTTTTTGATTTTACTGAGTTTTTTTTTTTTCAAAAAATTTTGAAGTTGAATTTTATTGAGTAAAAAAAAAAACTAGACTTCAACCTTGTGATTTCAAGTTGGATAGCACACTACTTCAAAAAAAAAACATAAAATCACTTCTTAAGAAAAAATTGTTATAACTACCAAATTGATAGTGCTCAAAATTACTAAAACAGTACTAGTTTCGTCTATTTTTAAATGCGTTTTCTCGAAAACCACTGCATAAAAATTCAAAAAAATTGGCACCGTTGAGAAGAGAATTCGATGACCTTTAAAATGAGGTATCGCTTGGCCCCTACTGCCATTTAAGATTTAAGGGTTGGAGCTTACCCCCGCGAGAGGGTTGAAGTGACAACATTGAAAATATGCGCAAAATATTTCCCCCTCCGAATAAAAATCGACGGGTCCGAGCGATTGTTAAGGGTAGTTTTTCATATTACGACGGGGGTTGTGTCAATTTCCATGGGGGTTGGAAATGGTGTTAAAATAGTAACCTATTAATTTTATGGCTAGACTGGAAGTCCAAGTTAAAAAAAGATACGAAAAGCTCAATATTCATGCATTTTTATTTGTTAAGGGTAGTTTTTCATATTTCGACGGAGTTTGAGTCAATGGGAATTTCCATGGGGGCTGGAAATGGTGTTAAAATAGTACCCTATCAATTTTATGGCTAGACGCGGAAGTCCAAGTATGAAAAAAATACGAAAATCTCAATATTTATGCATTTTTATTTGTTAAGGGTAGCTTTTCATATTTCGACGGTGTTTGAGTCAATGGGATTTTACATGGGGGTTGAAAATAGCGTTTAAATACTATTCTATAAATTTCATGGCTAGACTCGAAGTCCAACTACGAAAAAAATACGAAAATCTCAATATTTATGCATTCTTAGTTGTTAGGGGTAGTTTTTCATATTGCTACGAAATTTTTGTGAATGAAATTTTGCATGGGAGTTGGAAATGTTGTTATAATACTACCCTATTTATTTCATGGCTAAACTCGAAGTTCAAGTTAGAAAAAAATACGGAAATCTGAATATTTATGCGTTTTTACTTGTTAAGGGTAGTTTTGCATATTACTTCGAGGTTTGAGTCAATAGGATTATGCATGGGAGTCGGAAATAGTGTTAAAATAGTACCCTATTATTTTCATGGAAAAACTCGAAGTTCAACTTTGAAAAAAAAAACGAAAATCTGAATATTTATGTATTTTTATTTGTTAAAGGTAGTTCTTCATATTTTTACTGAGTTTGAGTCAATGGGATTTCATGGCTAGACTCGGTGTCTAAGCATAATTTATTAAATTTATTTTAAATTGAAAAAAAAAATGGTACGCCAATGGTCGTTCGGGTGTTTCCGTTAAAATGGCTGCCGCCAAGCCAAGTTTTGGCGGAAGTATCATGGTTGGGCAAACATGGACTATCGATGGGCAATCGAACTGTAATTTTAGATTGGCCATTTTCAAATTTGGTTTTCAATTTTGTCAAAATGAAACTATCAATTATCAATCATTCAGCTTGGCAAGATTCAAAATTTCATAACTGAACGATTTGACATGGAGCAAATAAGTTGGCGGCAAAAAGTGTAGGCATAAATTCAGCAAGGATTCCAGGATATTTCGCCCAAGCGAAATAATTACGGATTTTAGCAGAAATTATCAATAATGTTCTTATAACTTACATGGTGCGGTCAGCAGGATGGGCCGCAGGGCGGGGGCGTCTGATCACACGTCGGTTGGGCATTATTCCTTTGAAGCTGGGCAACAAATTATCAGAGTAAATTGCTTAGATTGCCTGGAAGCAATTGATTGGAAAGAATTAATAAAATTTAGGAATTAATTAGGAAGGGAACTTGTCACAAGACACAGAGCACGAGTAACGTAATGGTCGAAAACGGAAAACGGGAAAGAAAGGGAGGAGTGACAGGTGACATGTGACATGTGGTAGGAGTAATGGCGGTTGAAGAAATCGTGGAATTTTGCAATAATTTGCTGCTGCATGCAGTGTTTACAGTGAAATTGGTTTTCTGCCCGAATACTGGCCACATTGTAATTTGTAAAAAGCTCACTTTATTTATGGCAACGTGAGAAGTAATTATTTTGCTTATGGCAACGCTGTAAGAGGCTTACTTCGCTACTGGCAACGTTGTAAGAGGCTGACTTCGCTCATGGCAACGTTGTACGAGCCTTTTTTTTTGCGGTTGCGCAGCCCAAAATTTGATTTTTTTCTTTTGGAAAAACGGCAAGAAAGGTATGAAAATAATATAATATTTGTAGGTAAACAATTAAAAACTAATATTTTATTGAAAGAAAAATAGACTAAACATTATTTTCAAATTGAAATATTAGTTTATTGGTTTCTTCTTCAACATAAATTATTTTGCTTGTGATATTTATTTTAATCATTGTCACAAAATTTTTTGTTAAAAGAATGCCAGCCAATAGGTATTTTTTAAACTATTTCGTGTAGCTGCTTAGACTTATTTGCGAAAATGCTCCTTCTACATTGGCACTAGAGTAGAGTGCGATCAACACAATTATTGGTTTGGATATTCAATGTTTGTGGGACCACATTTTTTTTGTTGTGCAATGAAGACTGCAATTAGCAAATTCGCTTTTTGTGCTTTTGTTCCATAATTACCGTCCCTAAATTATTTTTGCTTAACATTGCTAACACAGTCTTCTAACCAGTAGAGCTCTAGGTACTTCTCAGTCTTTTCTGCATTTTTGTTGATTTTATACTCCTAGTGTTGCTCCATTTGTACCATGATCGGCAAGTTTCGCTCCATTACCTGAAATGAGCTACAGAGCTACCAAGAATCTCTCCTAGCCCCCCCCCCCCTCCTGACGAAGTTTTTATGTGCCCATATTTTATTTTCTGAGTTTTGCTCCATTTTGCTCCGTGATCTGCAAGTTCTACTCCATTACCTGGAATGACCTAGCTCTTCCAGTAAATTTTTTTATTTTTGAGTGACGCCGAGTATATTTATTTCGTAGCTCCGCTATAATCGAATTCTATTCAAAGAACCAGTGCAAAACAAAATATTTCTATCCTTGCTTGTTACATAGTAGTAGAAAGAAATACAAATACTTGCCCACTAAATGTATCAATAGAATTTCCTATTAAGGGGGTGTCACCCTAAAAAACGACTTAAGCTACTTAAATCAAGAAACAAAATCTAAGACCTCTAGTGAAAACTGCATTCCTAAATCCAAAATAGTCTCCGATAAAATTCCTTGTGAAGATAAATTATGCAGGAACTTGTGACGTCACAACCGCCGAAATTGCTGTCTTCTGTTCGTTCAGTGACACGTACCCTATACTTTGAGTGGTTGCGATTCGCTCTAGTGAGATAATTGTCTTTTTTTTTTAGAAAATTCTTGTTAATACTGTGCCTGATAGTCCAGTGTGACGTCACAATCACCTAGTTGTAACTTTGAACCGCCTTAACTCGAAAACGGACCATTGTAGCAAGATGCGGTTTAAATATTATTATTCTTGAATTTTTTTGCACTAAAACTTTCATTTTTGGGTCACACCCCCTTTAATCAAGGATAATACACACTACTATAAGGATTGCTTATCGGCCTCATTTTTGGTAATCGCCGCCATATTGGTGTGTCACCATTTCCGACGTCATAACTAAGTCGTCAGCTTTTTGCACCTCACTAGCGGTCGTAGTTTAGAATTTAAATTTATGAAGAAAATTATTATTTAATTTTGATTAACCCAATAGGCCAAGAGGAGGATGAAAACGAGATCTGAAAAAGAGTTGTTTTAGAATGTTAATTAATGTAGTAAAACCAAGTATGCATAAAGCAAAAGCCCGCGGTATCATAACCTGTGGTGCAAACAACCTACGACAAGGCGAGAAACGACATGCTGCTACGTCACAACTGGTTATTTAGCGTGGTGGGGGGCTTCAGATTTATTCCACACAGGCCTTATGTGCTACCCTATAGTGGTAGTGTGTATTATCCTTGAGCGTTACTGACATCGAAATTTGTCAGATTTTTCTAAATCCGTTTTGGAAGAGAAGAAAAACTCATCAGAATTGCCTGGAATTTGGGATATATACCTATTCTTTGATCAATTATCTACAATCCGATTATTTTAGTTTTTCTATATTTTAGTTTTTCTTTATTTTAGTTTTTCTATATTTTGCGTTTTTCTCAAAATGAAAAAGTGTCTACATATCTGGTTGCCTATTTTTCAAGATTCAGATATTTATGGATTATTTCTAAAAACTCGCAAAATATCGAAAAACTAGAATAATCGGATTGTAGGTAATCGATCAAAGAATATGAAATGTCTGTGCCAAATTTCATGTAATTATGTGAGGGTTTTTTGAATTGCAACTTCTTAGGTGGCGGTCTGATATTTGGACGACAATGGAGAGTGATTTGAAAAACGCGTCACTGGCAAATTTCGTTACTTGAGAGAGAAGAAAGATATAACGTAATGCGGAAAAAGGCAGCTATTGATTGACACAAACTAAGGATATTAAGCCCAAAGAGGATTGCCTGTTATTGTCAAGCGCCGATACCTTTGTGACATCTGACATCACTACAGATGCTCGCTTTTTTATAACGTAGAGGGATATAGAATGACAGCCAATGACAATGACAGCCGACGAACGATTGACACAAGACTTAAGATGTTTTTTCTCGACCCCAATAGTTCGAAATGCTTTTGAAATCTGTTTTGAACCTGTTTGAAAATGACGTCATTACTTTCATTCGAGAAAAAATGACGTTTTCAAACCAGAAGAATTTAACCATAGATAACCTAGGATTTTTGTTTGTTTTTTTTTTTCTGGTAACTAGCCAATGCCCAATAGCCTATTTTCTATTTTTCAATAAATGTAAGAGTGTTCTGTTCATAATTCTATAACCTCCTACAAAAAGACACAACACAAGTATAAACATAAACAAAAAACTGTTAACTTTCCTAAATTATTGCGCATGCGTTTGTTTTTGAACCGGCGAAATCACCTTTTAAAATATTTTTGTTATGACGTCATTAGTTCAACGCGAAAATGTGATGTTTTGAATTAGGTTCAACCTGAACCGAATTTTCGCGACGAACTACTTCCATGATTTCATGAACACAAACGCTTTCGCGAGAAACCATGACGTCATATTGAACATAGTTCGTCGGAAGCATGTACGCAGCTTCTAGCGAGCGTTCAACTCATGACGTCACAAGACGAACTATGGTTCGTCCTTGGATGAACTACATTCGCCGCGAAAATTCGGTTCTGGTTTAACCAATTTAAGCGAGAAAAAACACCTAAAAACTAAGGATTATAAACTATTATTAGGCGAGTTTTGGCGTTAACCGGGTTATGAAAAGTGGTTATAACGCGGTAACGAAGTGGTTCGGATATGGCCAGCGATATAACCAGTTAGTAACCAGACACCAAAACGATGTTCGTATATCAGGTATATCATAGGTAACTAAAACATCACAACTCAGCTGTTTCTTGTTTAAAATATATATATATTTTTTTACTCTTTAAAATGAATCGGAACAAAATTTATTTGATTATTTTTATTGCAAGAATATAATCTCGTGATTGCCACGTGAGGCCACATCTGTATTCAGAAGATCTTTTCCCAAAAATGTTAGAGATAGACTTTCACTTGAATACATTTCGAATTTTACTTCAAGTACGTCCGCCAATTCTCCAGTCGGCATGGCCTGCGAGTGACGTCACCAATATCAGCAGCTTTTAGTGGTGACGTCACCCGCAGGCCTCGATCCTCGACGGGATGCTTGCGATTCAGGTAGTGCTTGTGAGTTAATTTTTTCGTCGATTTTGAGTGAAGAAAAGGTGATTTCAACAAGATTATAACGTTTGGGAATTCGCAGGAATAAGCAGTCCTATTTGGTCAAGTGCTCTTGACTAAAAATCATTTGTCCATTCAAGAATGTAGAAAGATAGGTTAGGATGGAAAACCAAATTCATAAACCAAAGAAAAAGCTGCGACGTTGCCATTTTCGTAACCCCATTAAAATTCATGCAAAAACGTAGTTGGTTACGATTTTACGATTTCGTTACCAGTTCGTAACCTGGTAAATGCCAAAACTCACCTATAGTTAAGCGCCGATACTCTTGTGACGTCAGTACAGATGCGCGTTTTACTTCCAAAAGTCATTAACGCGCCGTCAAAAAGAATGCGGTTGAAAACCAATTGAAAAAAAAATTGTTCCTTATTTTCTTTCATGTGCTACGAGAAAAAGACTGAAATAATCTCAGTGCGTAGGAATCGTAGGGTAGCTTAACGCATTGGGTTGAATTCAAAATAAAAAATCATCATCATCATCATGATAGAAATATTTTGTTTTGCACTGGAGAAACTTGAAAATTCACTGGAAGGGGGGGGTGAGCTAGCAGAGATTCTTAGGAGCTCTGTAGCTCATTCCAGGGGTCCTTATTCTCGAAACAGGGGAGCAGCGTTCTCCTGAGAGAGTAGCTTCTGACTCCGTCGCCCATATTCACAAAGACAGAGCAATCGTACTCATGAGAACGCTGCTCCTTGATAATAGACATCAGGTAATGGAGCGAAACTCGCCGATCATGGAGCAAAGCAATGAGAGTAAAATGAGCATTTCAAAATATTGAATTTTTTAATGGGGGAACTAGCGTTAATTCAGCCCCTGCCCTACTTAATAGGCCACATATTATAGAACAAAAATTATAATAAGGATCAAAATTTAGCGGGGAGGGGCTAACTTAACTGACCACAGATTGCATACCTACGTGACAGTTTATCAGAAGATGAATAAACCGGCCCTAAACATAATAAATATGCCAATTTCTTTATTTATTTCAAATGCTGAGTCAGTTAAGAAAATTTGCCTTTCTTTACTCTGCAATTTACCAATTTTGGGGTGGATTCGAGGAGCCGTATCGATTTTCCATTTACTCTTTAAAATTAATTTTCAGAATCCCATCAATAAGGAAGGTACAGCCTCAGCTCCTAAAAATTAAATTATTTTATTTTTTTCATTTAGCCAGCGTTTGTACCCCAAATTTGAGGGTGGATTTAGGAAGGCCTATCTACCCTACGAATTTTATTTCGAGAATCCCAATAACTGCTTAAGCTCCTAAAAATACCACCCAACTCTATTGTACCCTCTAGGTGCCCTGAAAGTTTCAATTTCAGATTCCGCACGTCGGAATCGATTGCGAGCATATTCCTAATTTTGATTATCACACAAAGGGCACCAGTACTCAGCAGCTAACTTTGCGCCGTAAAGCAATTGAGGTCAGTTGAGATAAGGCCGGTGTAAATTTCCTGACTGATCGTTGAGAGTTATGACCAATGACTAACTAGCAAAGTAAAGTACTGAAAGAAAACGCAGGAAAATAGAAAAGTTGAGTTCGGAATGGGATTTTAGTGCAGTGCTAGTGCGGTGTTCGTGTAATGCAGTGTTGTATCACGTGATGAAGGTTTAATCGGCGGTGTAACACCAAATACACCATCACTTTGTAACGAGTGAACGGTGTCCCACCATGTTTACACCATTTAGACACCAAATCATTTCCAAGCGCAAATAAAGTGTACACGAAACTTACTCCTCCCAATTAACGAACGCCACAGTGACAATAGTGTAAAAAGTCGGATTACTATAAGTTGTATTCCTTTCACACGTGGGAGGAGCTCCGGAACAGCTCCAGGGCTTCACGCGCTTATTCCTTTCGAAAAGTGTTAGTTGCACCACGCATCTGTTTCCTGCAAATCGGGGGCGACTAAACACCGGAGCGAGTAGCTCGAGTGTTTCAAGCTCTTGAAAGGAATACAACTATAGCCGAAAATTGTTTACAAAAATTTTGAAATAAATTTGAATTGGTCTGGAATGGCACACTGAACAGTCGTCACTTCTGCGCATGTCTAAAGCATAAGTTGAGTTGGTAAGCGTAAATTTTTCCCGCTTAGAAAAATAGGCCATCAAATCTCTTTGTTCACCTGATTATTCAACGTGCGCATTCAACCACAAAAATAAAAACGGTATTTCTAGGTGCACAAATTTTTAAACAGGACTTCAACAAAAACTTTTGTGTTTTAGCTGAAAACGATTGAAAATATTTTCCTTGATCTTTTCTCAATAACCCCCCAGTTTTGACAATACATACTTGAATAACTTTAGAATTCATGGCAGTGATCATAATTATTATGATAAAGCTCAATGAAAAAAAAATATAGAGCATAGGTGATATGAAGCAAAAATCATAAAATAATACATGATGAAATGTGAAAAAACCATGTACCATTGGTCTTAAGTTTTATCATCAACGCAGAGCCCAGAATTATTGGTTCGCTATAAACATATAATATGTAATGTCATTGTCTTAAATTCGTCGTGTTAAACAAAATCGTGTTGGATTTTGAAAATAATGACAGCATAAAATAAACTTTCAAATTTTAATCGTCGACAACTTTAGAAAACAAACTTCCGTTTTTTTTAGTCTAACCCCAAAGTAGGTAGGTATCATGAATTTTAAATTTCATGCCATTATAGCAGGGTTCTTTGCAGGATTTGTGTCTGACCATCAGAACTTGTTCAGAACCCGCAGAACCTTGAAAACATGTGGCTACTGTAGGACCGTTTGCAAATCCTGATGGTACGTGCTTATCGCTTGGTTTTCGAAGCGTGACATTGGCAAACACAAAACAATATTTTAACGATTAAATATGGAACGATAAAAAGTTGAACCTTCTAAGAATTTATACCAAGTTAATTTCCTTTGCACAGTGCTTGAAAGTTGAAAAATAAAATTAAAATTTTAGTCTCGATTTTATAGTTTCTTCTGGTAAACGCCAGACCTAGTTTATTTAGAGATTGAATTATATCAGTGTGTCCAAGATAAGGATGGGATAGAATTAGGATTTGGCCAACAATCAGAGTTACAATGTTGGTTAGATTAGGAAAAAGTTGGGAAATTTGACTACCTTTTACATAATGTTTGTAGGATTGTGCTTTCTTTTTCCGATTTCGATTTTTCTTAAAAAGAGTAAGTTCTTCGATTTTGGCTTTTAATTATTTCTTTTTATTTTCTGATATCTGTCAAAATAGCGTCAGAAATGAATAAAAGCCAAAATCGAAAAACTTAATTTTTTTAAAGAAAAATCAAAATCGGAAAAAGAAAGCCCATTCCAAACTTTATGTAAAGGGTACTCTAATTACCCAACTTTTTCCTTATCTAACCAAAATTGTAACTCCAATTGTTGGCCAAATCTAATGCTATCCCATCATTTTTTTGGATACACTGTTATACAGGGTATTCCAAAAAAATTCCGCCAGAAGTTCATAGGGGACATTGAGGTGAAAAATGTTTGCATTGAGAAAATAATCCCTTTTGTCTGAAGAGTTATTTTTGTTTAGAAAAGTGTCGTTATCTTCTCGATTTTAATAGACGTTAATATCTACTTCATGTAACCCCAAAGGAAACCATCCAACGGGGTTGAATCAGGACTTCGCGCTGGCCACCTGATAAGTCCTTCTGTTCCGATCCAGCGCCCACGAAATTTTTTTTTTAGGTGATCCTGCCTATTACGGGCAAAATATGCAGGTGCACCGCAATTTTGGAATCACATTCCAGCTTGTATAGTCATAGGAAAATATGCATTGTTCCAGTAGCTTGCGGGAAGTAATCGTCGCAAAAAATATGAGTAAAGCAGTTGACTCACTCGCGATTAGTTGTGAAATAAATTGTCAGTAGACAAAAAAGTGTTTAGTGTTTGTTGAATTTCGAAGTGTTTTGATCAAAAATTACTCTGGAGTCCAAATAATAATAATAATAATAATAGTTTATTTTCAAAGAACAATAATGGTAAGTACATAACTTGAAATCTACAATCTACCTTAGAAAATAAACAAGTAACGCACAGAAACAATTTCAAGTTGTTTGTTAGTGGGGTGTCTGGTGTCTCTGCAAGTAAATAAAGCAATCGGTTATCGAAGATTAGTGAAACGCAAAACAACCAGAAAAAAACACTGATTTTCCAGATCACTGGCAACCAAACCCAAAAGGTAAGCCATTTTATTAAAATTATTAAATTTAAGTAATTTAATTTTTCAAAATACAGTCGACTTGCTCATGCTCGCCCATTTTTTGGTCCCTTAAAACTGCGTAAGTTTGGCACACCCTGCATGTATAACTTGCAAACTTTCTGGCAAGTTTCGATTCAAAAGATTCACCAAAACCGTCAGCAGCAATTTTTATTTAACTTCTAAATATTTTCTTACGGGGTGTCCCGAAATGGCAGCCCAGGGGCAGTTGGCCGATGGTTTCACATCCAAATTTGTTCATCTAAGATCGGTTCAACTCTGTGTCAAATAGCTAGGTTAGCTAATCCGCTGTATTTATATTAATTTATACTTTAGGATGAATTCACTATATGTATTATATTATATTGACATTACCTACAGTTCTACACCAAAAATGGTATACAAAATAATATAAACTCAAAAAATGAATAAACTTAGTCTGTAATTTGTTGACAAAAGAAAAACGAAATTTTCCTTTTTGGATTTTGACTAACAAGACCCCGCCATAGTTTTCCACATTTCAATACCTATACAGTTTATTATTTACGATTTAAGTGGGTATCACATTTGAAAGCTGCATGCAAATATGGCCCAAACTAAAATACCAGCAGTTTATGGCTTTCACCCGCCTTGCTGGTCAGTTGGCAGGATCCAAGAAAGGAAACAATCGCAAGAGGAAGATCGCCAACGACGCCTTGCTGAGAAACCAGCGGAATTTTGTACATATGAAGACAGGTGAGCGATTTCAATTAAATGGGAATGTTAATTAGCTTCAGTATTTGTAACTTTAGTTCATCTGAAGAAAAATCTGAGATTGCATTGAAGGAAGCCGTAAACACCTCCTACAATTTTGTCGATTACGTAAAGCATAGAGAAACTCAGACGTCGATATACAGCTCTGTATCAAAAGAATACGGTCATAGGCACATCTTGACTCATGGTGGATTGTTTGAGCACACGCAAATTGATTTGGGACATGATATGAAAAAAGTGTTGTGTTCTCAGTGGTTAAGTGATAGACTTATTCTTTTTGGAACTAAGTGTAATAAGGTCAGTATACCTATATTCTCATTTATTGGTCCATAATATGTACCCGAGTATAATTTTGTGAAATTTCTTACTGATAAAGATTTTTTCAGGGGGTTGAACAAGAAGTGTTCAGCTATATCATTAACCATTTCTTTGAATTTCTATTGTATTCATTTTAGCTAATGATCTATGATGTCCAAAATCATGAAATAAATCAAATTCCAAGTATTGTCAGTAGTGTTAGAAGGGAAATTGAAGATGACGAGCAAACTGGTGGTATTTATTCTGTCCAACTCAATCCGTCGAAAACTTTGTTGGCAACTGTGGCAGAAAATAATTCTGAAGTGGCCGTTTATAAAATTCCCACATTTGATCCGGTTTGTGTTGGCGAAAATGCTCATATAAATCGGGTAATTATTTTGGTTGAAGAATGTATTAGGTATTTGTGATAACAATGAGATGACATTTTATAGGTGGATGATATCTGTTGGCTAGATGATCAATTTTTAGTTTCCGGAGATACAGAATTAGCTCTGTGGAGAGTAACAGATGATATTTTAGATGCTGAAGATGAAGTGGCCGCACATAAAACTATATTACCGGTATCTTTGGAATATTTTCACAATTCAGAGAAAGTGAGCATACAGTTTTTGGGAAACAAAGTTTAGTTTCATCACAAATCCTTTCAGATTAGAGCAATAAAATTCAACAAATCTAACCGAGAGATAGCAACCTTGAACGAAAATCATGGTACCATTGTCATTTGGGATGCGGAAAAATTCCAGAAAAAAATGGCTCGGAAATTCTCGCATGGAAATAATACATGCATGACTTTGAACGAGAATGACAATATTTACGCTATTGGCAATCGAAATCTTTCCGCTTTATTAGATTGCCGAACCCTACAGGTAAAAATACATCTATAGATGTTTTATATCTTTTAAGATTTTTCCTGAAATTAATCCAAAGTAGGATTGCAAAATACCTATTAATAGTAAATTATACTAATTTATTCTATTGTTTAGATCATTAAAAAAATACCACCGATTGACTATTATGGTTTTCATTTGTTTCTTCGATCGGCCTCATTTACAGGCGACATTTTGACGTTAGGCTTGGATTTAGGCAAAATCCTATTTTTTGATTTAAAGGCTGGGAAATTCTTGGAAAGCAGCGTGATTCCGGATAGAACTATTAGATTAAAAGCTACTAAAGGATATGTGGTGAGTATGTTATCGACTAAATTCTCAAGATTCCAATCAACTAGTCTTTATTTTTTATGTAAAAGAAGGTTAATCTCTGTAAAAACCATTTTTGTATCTTTCAGTTCCCCGATGTAGATATTTTGCGGAACGATGAGCATTCTGAGGTAAAATATGGACCGGCAATCATGACACATTGCTATAATTCCAGTGGGACGCGGCTCTTTATAGCCGGAGGGCCTAATTTCCTTCCAAATTTTACTGGAAATTATGCAGGATTGTTCCAGTAAAAAATTATATTCATTTTATACCAGCTATAATTTTACTTAACTGCAGTTTAAGTAAGTAATTTGAACATAATATAGTTATGAATAAGCGATATACCGCGAGTCAACGACATCGCTTTCGGTCTGGCATTTTTTTATTTCTTTTCCGATCGAAATGAATTTTGGTGTAGAGTTTAGGTTTGGCAAATGTCATCTTTTGACATAGGTCACATACCTGACAACTTTTGGTTTTACTGAAAGTGACCGTAGCTTCATAGATCTAAATGGCTATACCTAGTATTTTTTAGTAGTTTTGAAATCTTGGGATCATTCTGTATATGGGAGAATCAAATTTGGAGCTGTTCGATGAAATTTGAAAATTTTCAAACCAAATTTGTTTTTGATTTGAGACTACCACGATTTGCCTCAAACTGTTTATTTTAGCGCACATAGCTGTAGACAAATGGAAATTCGTTGTTTTCACTTGTTGGAGATACACAATAAAAAATTATTTATTTATTTTCACCGTTTAGTAGGTATAAGGTACCTAATAGTTAATAGGTAAACGTTAGAACGGCGACATAAAATAACCTTTTTTAATAAAAGTTTTTTGCTATAAAAAACTCCAAATGCATAATCCGATTTCAATTTTTCAAACACCACATTATTGCTAATGAAATGCACTCTCCAATGCCTTTTTGTTCGAATTTTTTGCTTGAAAATTAAGCGAGCACGGACTTGTCTAATGTGCGGCAGCCCATTTATTCCCCTCATATTGCCCCAGCGGATTTTTTTTTTCGTTAATTACTCAATGACTTATTAGCCTGAACACGTCGCGCGGAATTTTTCAAAAAGTCAAAAAAAAAAAAAAATTATCGCAGAGCGCTGAAATTTGGTATGATGGCTTTATTTATTGTTTTTATGAATATACTGCAATTTTAATTGTTTCACATGACTGCTGCAACAATTAAAATTGCAGTATATTTATGAGAACAATAAATCAAGCCATCGTACCAAATTTCAGCGCTGTGCGACAATTTTTTTTTTTTTTGACTTTCTGAAAAATTCCGCGCGACGTGTTCAGGCCAATAAGTATTGAGTAATTAACGAAAAAAAAAATCCGCTGGGGCATTATGAGAGGAATAGATGGGCTGCCGATTGTCGAAAATTGTCACCAAATATTTGGCCCCGTTTAGAAATTACAGTGAATGCAAGAAAGGGGTAGTTTTCGATGCAATTTACAACTTCCTCGCACATTAGACAAGTACGTGCTCGCTTAATTTTCAAGCAAAAAATTCGAACAAAAAGGCATTGGAGAGTGCATTTCATTAGCAATAATGTGGTGTTTGAAAAATTGAAATCGGATTATGCATTTGGCCACTGCTGCATCAAATGCGCGGAAACCGCTGATTCGTTGATTCAGCGACCTTGAATAAAAACATGCTAGTATTCAAGACGCTGCAGAAAAAAAACTATAGAAGATAGAAAGGTGCTGTCGCTGAGTTTTTTATAGCAAAAAACTTCAGCTACAACATTTATTTGAAACTTTTTGCTATTGGACCATCGCTTTGAGCAGCGTTTTCCATAAACCGTAAATTACCCCTAAAAACCACCCCTAACTAAAAACCCTATGGAAGTACAAGGTCGCAAACTTAATAAGCACATGAAAATGAACCGATCCCCCCCAAAAAATGTTAACTTCTAATTATGTTGAGGTAGACCCTCTTTTCAGATCCCCGTTTCTTGGACTAAATAGAAAGTTTGGTAAACTAAAATGTTTTAATACAGTCCACTCCAAAGCAAGGTTTTCAAAGGGCCCACTATTTCTGAGGAAATTAGTGGCGAAATATCACTTATCAAATGTTTTCAGAGTTGGCAAAGTTGTATTTTATGTGGATAACTTAAAAAAATTAAATAAATCCACCCAACTTTCACCACTAAAATTGATAACTTGCTTCAAAATAAAGCTAGACTGATGTATTCATTCCAATGAGACTGATTTTTAATAATTAGCTTTCAATTTGAAAAGTTACAAAAAAATATGTCATGTGTGTGAATCGCATTTCAATACGTGAAAATATGACCCATTTTGAACAAAAAAAAGGTCTTTAGGTAATTGAATATTGGTCAATCAGTAATTTCGAATTTCGAAATTTATATTTAGAGAAATGTTTAAAATGGTTTAAAAAACTAACTCAAATTTTAAAAAAAAAATAATAAGTTTTGCAAGGAGTTCATTTTTGTTGTTTTGATTTGGGTTTATTTATTTTTGAATAATAAAAATAATCAAGTTATTAATTCCACTAATAATTAAACTTAAAACAAAAACTACTAGTAGATACTAGGGAGGTACTCACCTGAGTACAGACTTATCACTTTGTCTTCTGCGACTGCAAACTTGCAAACTTCAACATTCCTCCAATGTTGGTGGTATAGTCAAAGTTTACATGTGGTACCTATGGGGTTCTTTGGAATGTGCTATGTTGTCAGATGTTTCGGAACCAAATTTCTACCTAAATTGTTACGGTATTTTGTTACAATTACTATTGTTGCGTCAAAATGCTTAATTACTTACTCAATAATTTGTCAATAAATGATTAATTTGATTGAAATTTCAAAATACGTCAAAAAACCTCAAAAACTTGAAGGACTTTTTTTTTAAAAATTATTATTGAGCTTGCCCTATGTTGCATGCACTTTATTTATCCAAAACCGGTCATATTTTCATGTATTAAGGCGGCAACAGCACCCCGTGCAATTGCGCACAGGGGCCCATTTTCGTCAAATCGCTTTGAAAGTGTAAAAAAAAATGGCACAACCGAATTAGCTCAAATTTGGGATAAACATTCTTTGCTCGATTATCTAAAGATTTGTGTTTTTCTTTGTTCAAAAAAAGCAGGCTGTTTCTTTGACTGCCTATCTTTTGGAACAGGTCTTGCCATGAATCTTTAGATCATCGATGAAAGGATGTTTATTCCAAATTTGAGCCAATTCTGATGTGCCGTTTTATTTTTGCACCTACAAAGCGATTTTAAAAGTAAAAATCCTTTCCTGATAAAATGAAATAGGAAAACTATGTACAGGGTTATTGGTTATAAATGAAATGTCACCCCCCTCAATCTTTTTTATTTGACATTTTAGAAAAAAGTGTCACAAATAAAAAATTTATAATTGAAATTAAATTTTTCGAAAAACCCACTTTTGCATATACAGGGGGTTTCAGAAAAGCTGGTCGTGATCCAACTCTCTTATTTTAAATTGAATACCCTGTATATTATTCAATATTCAGATTCTACATCAAATTCTGGACAGATTTCATGTGATATACCCTATACCTAAGTTCAACTGTTTTGGAAATATTGACAGTTGAAAATTGCCTTTTTTTTCAAATTTGACAGGCTGTAAAACCTAAACGGTCAACTTTTGAGCAAAACCGATCTCACATTTTTTTCTAAGATTTTCACAAGTTATCATTTGACACCAACTTTGAATTTAACCGAAGATTAAATTTAATTGGAATTTTCAATCATGGATTAAATTCAAAGTTGATATCAAATATTAGTGGCAACTGATAGTTTATTAAAGTCTAAGACAAACATGTAAGATCGATTTTGCTCTAAAATTAACCGTTTAGGATTTACAGCCTGTCAAAGTTGCAAAAAAGTTAATTTTTAACTGTCAATATTTCCAAAACAGTTGAACTTAGGTATAGGATCACATGAAATCTGCTCAGAATTTTACGTAGAATCCGGATATCCAATAATATACAGGGTATTTCATTTGAAATATGAAATTTGGAGCGCAACCAGCTTTTCTGAAACACCCTGTATATGCGAAAGTGAGTTTTTCAAAAAAATTTATTTCAACCATAATTTTTTTATTTGGGACACTTTTTTCTAAAATGTCAAATGAAAAAGATAGAGGGGGGTGACATTTCTAACCAATAACCCTGTATATCAAGGTCAAATCTGCCACCAACCCGATCCGTAAAGGCACCAGACACCTGCGAGCATTGTGGTTGAGTCAAGCGCAAAATAATAATATTTCAAATCCTGCATCTCAGCGCCATCTATTAACATAAAATAAGATTTGAAAGTAATGTTGCCACCTTAAAGGGGGTGTGCGCCAAAAATTAAAGTTTTAGTGTAAAAAAATCTAAGAATAACTGTTCAAACCTCGTTATTCTACGATAAACCATCGCTGAGATATACCGGTTTAAAGTGTGGACGACGCTCTCGTGACGTCACGAAAACTTCGTCCAGCCGCGCTCCGCATTGTTAATTTGATTGTTTCCGGCACCAGTGAGTGGTTTTTGTTTAGATTATTGCAGGTAACACAGGAGAAACATATGTTAATTTAAATAACTCCACTTTCTCGTGCGTCGCTTGAGCTTTCGTGACGTCATAGGGTGAGATGCGGTACCTTCATAGAGCCATATCTACGGTATTATTTGTCATAGAGGGGTGCGGATTTCACTGTTATTCTTAGATTTTTTTTCTCTTTTTTTTGAGATGAAGTCGTTTTTTTGGCGCACACCCCCTTTAAGATATTTGTTTGATACAGCCTGACTTATTCTTACAATGTAATATAAAAAAAGATAAAAAAGCCGAGGCCTTCGTTCAAAACCTAAATATAGTTATTTCCCAAGTTAATAATTTTTACACTTAATCCTAACAGAAGCCCTATCCGCGGTTTCTTTAATAATATAATTTCTCCCTTATCAATAAGAGTGGAAGCAATAAGACAATTATATCTAATCATATAACTTTTATCAATTTTCAACAAGTGAACAGCAAACTAAGAAGTCATGGAGTCATCAATTTCGCCATTTTTCTTGTACACAGGGTGACACTTCAAAAACTTTACAAACAAAGCCTATATCTGAAGAAACAAAAAAAAAAATACATGAAAAATCGCTGGAAACAATTTTTGCATTAGAAAGAGGAAACCAATAATTAGCCAAATACATACTTAACATCAACTTCGTTTTCGCAGCCACATTCCTGAGAATGGGTTTGGATAAG